GTGGTCTGATTGGCAAGAATTCAATAATGGTGGTCAAAATAAAAAGAAACTATAGTTGACCCAAAATTTTATAGGATGTAGAGTTATAAAATTTTAAAAGATGCAAAATTAGATAATCAATAAAAATACAAAAAAAAACTTTAAATATAAGGGAACTTAAAATTTTCAGGGAGTGCGATCGTTCCCCAATATCCTATTGATCCATCCATCTTCCCACCAGAGCATCATGCTTGGATGAAATTAGGATAAATGACCTTGCAGTATGCTAAACGCGATGTCCCCCTGAATTTGAAGCGTCCCCAAATTTTGAAGAATCAACTTTAATTATTGCATGCTTTGGATCTCGTGTTATGCGTAACGCGAGGTCCCATAATTTTAATTACATTAACTTAATTGTTATATTTTTATTGTATTATAAAGTATATAATAAAATAAAATAATTTATTGTAATAAATAGATAATACTTATTGCAATTAAAACTCATTTTATTATAGATTAATGGCGTTCTATTGTAACATCTTACAAAAAGTTGCTTGTTCCAAAACAAGAATCGTACAAGTGCCGAGGTTGTTCCTTGGTTGCTTGAAGTATGCAACAATTATTATCAGAACTGTAGTCTTTAATTAATTGGAAAGGCAAGTTTGGTACGACTCTCCGACATTAAGCGTACAAGCCATTAATCTCTGAACGATAATATCTAAATTTATTTTCTTATAATCGGAGAGATCGTGAGTTTTCACGATTCGAAGTTTTTCATCTCTTAATTCACCCCAGAACAAATTAGAATAATGTCATAGTCCACTCATACATCATCGCAAAATTTCAAACATAGTCCGATATTTGCCTATCACTTTTATTGTAAAAGCGACATATTATCGGTTGGCTACCCTTTTTGCAACATTGGGAAAGCAAACAGTTGACTGGATGACAGGTGGCCACATAATCCACCCAGACCTCCTCGTGAAATTCTAAACATTTGTGCAATATTCAAACGCGATCAATGCGATTTGTGTCTCTCGCAAACAAAATAAATTTCGTGTTTCGAAACATTCGAGGCCATTGGAAGGCATACAACACATCACATACGTGGTTAACCTATAAGAAAACACATGGATCTGCAGAGTATTCTAAATATTCAAATACCCATATGCGCACGTCATTGCCTCTTGTTCTTATGTACGGATTCACTACATGCAATTCGTTGATATGATATACTTACTTTTGAAACCGTATTCAAGGTTTATTAAGTCAAATTTCCTCCTATTAGAAATGAATGAGATCCGGATGAAGTTGATGATGAACCTACAATATGACCAGATTTTACACTACGACACGTAAAATTGGGTCATCTACGATCAATGCAGATTTACTATGACGAGGATTTGGTTGAACATAGAGAAGAAACGGCAACCAAAACTGTGCACTCTATAGGAATCCCAAATACATGAAACAAATGTCCTAATCACACACCCTTATATCGATTTTGTGCTTTTGCGTTGTACTACTTTTGTAATAATCAAATATGTTTGTTAGTTTCAATTTCTTTGGTTTGGAACTATTTTTAATGCGATTTTTACCCCCTTACAATGTCTCGTATGTGTCGATATTATCTCAATTGAAAGATAAGTACCAATACTACTACTATAATCTTATAAGTTATGAAAATTTTTAAATTAACTACCCGAAAATACTCCTCGAAGATGTCTATCAAGTCATTTTTAGTTTATTCTTTTTTCTTGCACAAAACAAGCTTTAGAACCATTTTCAACGAGAGTTTTACCCTCTTACAATATCTCGTATGTGCCGATATTAGACTCAATTGAAAGATAAATTTCAATACTACGCCTTTAATCTTATAAATAAAAAAATTTATATTAATTACTCGAAAATACCCACGGAACATGCCTATAAGCACTTCTGGTGTGGGTTGGAAATTCACTAATCTTGCATACGATAGGACTGAGATTCAGAATTCAACCCTCGATAATTTTCTCTAGACTGTTCAATTTTTCGTGGACATTGCTTTTAGTATACTATGAGGTCATTTATCCTAATATTAAATTTGTTTATCTGAACAATTCTTACACGTCAGACTGGTCTCGCACCCCATAGAACACGAGTTCTATACACATGTTTTACAAAGTACGAGGTAGTCCTACGTGGGCAAGTTGGGGTGTATTTTTCCAAGTAATTCATGTTGAGGCTATTTTTTTAATAAATTAATTTTAGGGTTTATTAATTTGAGAAGATTATTATAGGTCTAATCGAGCTAGGTTCTTAGTTTATTTAAATTTAATTTAGATATTATATTTTTCACTCATATTCGATTTAATTTATATTTAGGTTAATTTCTTTAAACTAGAAATTTAACTTGATTTTTAAAGTGCAAATCTATATTTATTTGACTCGACATAAATATATATTATTTTTATTACAAAAAAAGAATTTAATTAAAAAATAAAAATTATTTTAATTGTCTTTAAATATATAAAAATTATAATATTATTTTCAGTCGAGTCAAATTGAGTAAGATTTATATTTATATAAGGGACATCATATCATAGTTTAGCGGCATCATATGTAATTATCTTTAATCCAATTAAAAATAATCATACTACAACGTATAGACTTATACATTGTAGATTCAGATAATATTTGAATTTCAATATTTTAATTATTATCTAAAACGTATTTAGAATAAATGTAAATATTAATTCTACAACATTATTGTCTAAATCTATCTTATTTTTATAGATAATAAATCTATATTATATATATATATATATCTTATTTTCGGTCGGTATCTCTTTCCAAAATCACTTTTAGTTAAAAATCTCGTTTTAATTATAAAATTAATGTCAAATGGGTTAAAAAATAAAAACTAAATTGCGATGAAACCGATAATTTCAAACAAACCGTAAAAGTTAGAATTTTTAGCTTTTTCATTTTTAACTTTGCATTTAGAAGTAAATTATAATTTTAAGCATGAACTCCACTCAATTATATATTTATATATTTTTTTAATATTTTAATATTAATATCATTAAAAATAATTTATTTTAATTACTCAAAAATAAAAAAAATCATAGTTTATATATTAAAATATTAATAGTGAGTTATTATAAAATATTTTTTATTATAATTATATCTTTTATATTTTTTTTATTAATAATGGAATGAATCAAAATTACATTGTATCATAATAAAGAGATAAATTTGGAGATAATAGTCACCAAAGTACTCAAACAAAAGTAAATATAAACCTAAAAATACGAAGAAAATTTAAACATTCCATTTATAATGACGACCAATATCCAAACACAATAACCTTCATATAAACTCATTGTTTATGTCGAATGAGACACGTGATGAAGTGATAAAGGAGTGAAAAGTGAATCAAATAATCTGGCAGGCTGCTTCACTACATAATTCTGATTATATCGGCAAACAATCTTTTACCAAGAGAGGGAATCTGACTATACGTGACCACCGACTAACAAATCAGAAAATAAATGTCATGATGGATTTTGTGTGTGAACCTAAACGACCGCAAATGTATGCGAAAAAAAACGTACCGAAAAATATGAGAATCGTGCCACAAGAGCATAGGAAACGCGTGCCACAGGAGCATAGAAAATTCATGTCATAAGGACAAAGATGCTTATTCAAAATTAAAAAGGCTTAAGAAAAAAACACAAAGACATATTAAAAAAAATAAGAAAACTAATATTCCTAGCGATCGGTAACCAACATTAAGATTGATGCCGCCGTCGACTAGACAAAAATCAATGAAAAAGAAGAAGATGACATAAAAATATTGAAAGAAAATTAAGTTGAGAGGAAATAGAGGCTATTATTTCGTAATATCAAATGTTTAACTTTGCTCGATGATCTAATATCTCATCCCACGAAAACAACCTTTAGTCTTACTTAAAATATATAATACCTCATCCTCTAAGACAACTAATTATTTATTATTTTTTGTTAATAATTTAACATTCTAATAATCAAAATGATTTTTTAAATAAACCTATCTCAAAATGAAAATTATCCTTAATGGTAATGATCAAAAATATAAATTAATAATTATTATTAATGTAATTTACTCTTAATATAATAATAATATAGTTAGATTAGATTACTTAAGTTTAATTCATTTAATTATTATACAAATTAAATCACCTCAATAGTCAAAAAGATTGTTGCTATTCTAAGAGGTCTCAAATTTAAATGCTAACTCTATAAAATATTTAATTATTTATTATTAAATAATTAAAATATTTTAGAACATATATTGCTATTTATAAATTATAATTACCATATAATAAAAAGGCTTAATACCAAAATAAGTGCTCAAACTATATTCTAAAACTCAAATAGGAGTCTAAACTAATTTTTGTCTTATCCAGGAGCCTAACGTTGCAACCGTTACCCATTTAGGTGTTCAGACAGTCAACGACGTTAATTTTTGCCATTAAGTGACATATGTCATAATATGATGATTTTAATCCTAGGATTCGAGCGGTTTAAAATATTGATTCGTCGTCGATCGATTGTCGACCAGTCACAATTTCATGGGACTTTTGGTCAACGAGAGGAGGGGAGGTCAGATGGATGTCGACTGCAAAAGGCGGTTACCGACGTGGGTTTATGGGTTGAAATGAAAGTTTTCAAAGTTTTAAGTTTATTTCAAAAATTTGTGTTTTCTGGTTTTTTAAAAATATATTATTTTAATTTTTTAATTTTAAATAATAATTTTAAAATTATCAAATTGTGACACGTGTCATTTAACGGAAAAATTAACACCGTTACCGAATCAGACACCTAAATGGACAACGTTTGTAATTTTAGACACATTGATGAAAAAAAACTTAATTTAAACACCTATTTGAGTTTTAAGATATAGTTTGAACACTTACTTTAGTATTAAACCTAATAAAAAAAACCATACAGTTATTATATACAGAATTTGACCAACCCTGAGGAGAGGAGATGATATAGCATCAACTTTTGTCTCATTTACCGACCACTTACCCCAAAAGCAGCGAGTGAATCTTATCCTCTTCAATCCCATTGTGATATCGTCCACGGAGGGTAGCGTTAATGGCAGATCCGAGTGCTCCGGGCCAACCCACGGTCACCAACGACGAGAATTGTCTAAAATACACCTGCGATGCTGGGTTTTTCTCTAACGCATACCCCTCCGACACTCCTAACCACGACGAAGAAGATTCCAACGACCCACCATCCAACTTTGATTCCGATGACTGCGACTCGGAATGTGATTCCAAGCCGTTGACTGATCTGTCAGCGGGTCTTCGGGTGTTCTCTGATTCCATTCTTAGGATGGAGCTTGCCGGGATGGAGATGGTCAAGGCGATGGAAGCCTCGAGGTGTGAGGCGGAGAAACGGAGGGCGGAATTGGAGGCAGAATTGGCTCGGATGATGTTCCGAACTCAGTCCCAGATCGCTTCGTTTGTCGCTGGAGATGGAGAAAACAGGAAAAGGAAGCGCGAAGCAGATGACGCTTCAAGGGACTCCTCCGTCAGGTGAAAACGAAGTCGTTTTTCTTCATATTTTCATTGGTCTAATTTTTTAATTAGTCCTTTATTGCGCTGAAACTCAATATTTAATCTTTTATTTGATTTTTCTTCTAACAAAATTTGAACTAAATAATTTTATCTATTTAAATGTTAGATGTTTATTTAAGATTTATGGTTTATCGTTTTAAATTTTAGGGTTCTAATTTAATGATTAGGCTTAAACAGTAAGATTTAGAATTTGTGATATTAGGGTTAAGGATTTAAACAGACAAAGTTATATATATCAAGTAATTTGCCTTAAGAAAATCATATCATCACTTCAACAATTACTAAAGATATTATAAATTTCGGCACAATAATAGAATTAAAAGTAGAGGCTCAAATTATTCCAAATTAAGGGATTAAATCCTAAATTTTCAACATAGTAGGACTAAAATCGTAATCAGACCTTATTTTCTTTCAAACAGTGAACATTGATCCCGGTTATTTTTGTTGGTTAATGCAGACAAAGAGCTTTGCTGCTGAGCTTGTTGCAGTGCAACTTACTCTTCTGAATTTCACTAAAACTAATGGAATAATCTTTGGCTTATCTATCAAAGTTGGTGGTGACAATAAAGCCAAAATCTATATCTATGTAATGTACTAATAATTATTTTAAATGAAAAATCTATGTATGGCAGATAATTACCATATTTGTCTATCTACATAATCACCTACATTGCCGCTGTTGATCGTGAAGATAACAAATCTAACTGAGGTTTCTGCGAAAGACAGCTATGGTCTTGGTTTCTCAGCTCCGCCACGCTGAGTAGAGCCTTTCTTCGGTTCATGGCACTTTTTATATATTCCTCCAAGGGTGGGAGGGGTGGTTGTTCTTTGTCATTCTTTGCTTGTCCTCGAATTAGCTGCCAAATGCCATGAATGAATGTAAATACTGCATGGTATATTTTATTCGAAAAATATTTGATACTAGAGGTTTGATAATTAATACCTTTGATGCCCATGACCGCTCTGCTTGTTGGCATGCATCCCGGATGGCCCTCCCAGACATTCTGGATATGTCGATGGGCAATCCTCAGTTGATTATGATTTAAACGTTGCATATAAAACAAAATATACATAATTTACTTTAAAGAAATTAAGATCACAAAATGTAATGGACTTACTCTTCGGTGACTCGAGCGAGTTAAGCTAACTCTGCTTCTGTAAGGTGTTTTGCGTACTGAGCTGCTATTGCCTGCCAATTGTGCTCATCAGGTAGACCGAAGACAATCATTGAATCAAAACGACTGCAAAAACAAATGTGCAATGCAGAAACATTTCATTGGCTTTTTATGATATAATTAGCCTCATCGAACGGGACTGAGACTGCATCTTTGTTACCTAATCAATGCAGGATCAAGATCTTGCTTTCTGTTTGTGGCAGCAATGACAACCACTTTCTTGTCCTGTTCAAATCCATCAATCTGTAAAAACAATAATACATTTTCATTAATGGCACTTAACAGAACTCTATCAGATATTGCAATATTTTCAGGAAAAGGACATTGCATGCTGAAATTAAGAGCAAAGAAATTCATAAAACCTAAAACAAAAAAGTAAAGGTTTTTAACAGGCTAGCTGAGAGGCGCATTTTCATTTGAAACCAAAACCACATGAAAATCCACTTTAACCTGTCGCAATAGCACCGACAAAATTCGACGTGTAGCTTCATGAATTTCACCACCACGAGCAGTGGCAAAAGAATCAACCTGAAATAGAGGATGTCTTGTCAACAATCTAATACAAATGAAATGCAATCTGATGATGGTAAAAACAAGGAAATCAGTGCCCCATATAAATGATTAATCATTACTGGCTTCATTTACCTCATCTAAAAATATGATAGCACCATCAAGAAGCTGATTGGCAAGAGAGAATACTTGTCCCAGTAAGCGTTCACTTTCACCATAGTGCTTTGACACGATAATCTCTAGTGGTACATACAGCAACGGGACACCCTGAAAAGCATAAGCATGCTTCAGATTATTACAGATTTGAATAAAACAATCTCTGGTAGAAACCATCATATTTATACGACGTATTCTACAAAGAACAAAGTGAACTATACTAAGCAACAAATCTATTTTAATATGTAACTAAAAATGCATGTTATAAACATTAATGTTCTAGATAAGAAACTTATTGCTCACCGCCTGATTAGCAATAACACGAGCACAAGATGTCTTCCCTGTACCTGAAATATGTAAAATTTTGACATAGATGAATCGGTTCGAAATTGCTTTCCACGTAAATGAGTTAATGTTTCTTTCTGGGTTGAAAAGAAAACCTGGAGGTCCTTCAAAGAGCACAGCTCTGGGTCTATTAGACTCAAAGTTTTGGCGAGTTCCACGTGCAATATCATCATATACTTGAGGGCTATTTAGAGCCAGCAAAATTGTATCTTCTATTTCTCTGACAAAATGAGTTGTCCGTGTGAATATAAATTTTACAGAACACCGTCTCTGCATAATCTATGTTTGATTGAAAATGGAAGAACAAAGGATATTGAGTCTTTTACATACTGTTTTTGTTGATCATATCCAATATTGTCCCATGATATCTCACCGTGTGGTTTATTCTGATGTGGCTCATCAAGTCCATAAATTCTTACCCCCATGGCCTCTAGGCTAGAGATTGATTTTTGTGCAGGCATCTGTGCAGAACCGTCCTTCGGTTTGTTTACCAGGGTGCTACTTTGTGCAAACCTGCCACCAGCTAGATCTAAGACAGAGACCAAAGCATCAAGCTCCTTCTGATTCAAACTTCCTTGTTTTATAAACTCAATTTCCTATGATATTTTGATGATTAAACAGTTACTCTGTGAAACATAAAGAAAATAACACAATCTCACTCAATACTAAAACATTGTCAGAAGTTGTAAGAAATTAAGACCAACCGCTTTGTCAGAGCTTATTAGTGAACGGAAAATGAGGATGCATAAGTCCCTTTCGTCTCCACTCCTATATACTGAATGCCCCTCGTTTACTCCAGTTTCCTTCTGTTTCTCCAGTGGATTAAGAGTCAGCTGCCTGCCAGGCAACTGAACTGAAACAATAAAAAGGTTGGAACTTCACATGATTTTAATGTCAACATAAATGCAGCTTTAGATGAGGTTTGAAAAGAATTTTATCATTGACAACCTGTCCCATGCACGCAATAGCACATCTGAACCACCACCATGCTCTTCAACCTTCAGTCCAAGATGTGAAGCAAGGTTTGCAATCAACTGGGCAACTTCACAACCAGGAGGAATCTGGAACTTGATCGTAACCTATAGCAAGCGTACTCTTATTAAAATACTTGAGCAGAGCAGAAATATCATGAATCCAGTTATATATACATATCGAGTTTACAGATGACAATTAGCAAAAAACATGCTTTCAGAAAATGAACTACTTAATTTAACCCAAAAATAACATTGTAAATCATCAGGAAGAACAGATAGATCATTAGGATCATCAAGGTGAACCTCCACTTCTAACCCATGAATGAGGGCTACGGTATCAAAGAGGAAAAAAAAAAATAAACTGAAACACAATGAAACAACCTTTTGGCCCTTGACAGCAACAGTAAACCGAGGATAAGAACCATATCTAATTCCTTTATCTTTAAGCCTCTGTTCAATTCGCTGCCTCTCTTTCTTGGCAGTTTCCTCAAGGTTGACTTGACTTACAGGAGGTTCTGATGGAAGAGGAGGTTTGGAGGAGGCCTACAAAAACCAGTTTCACTTCAAATCAATTCAAATAATACAAGCTCCGATAAGCGTAAGCTTATGGTAATGGTACACGTTTGAGGAAACACTGTTATCAGTATTGAGCAAGACAAAACATAGTTTAGGGAGCTTATTTCAGAAATCGTAACACATATAACAGGTAAAAGAGGAAACTAAAATAGAAATTTCGGAAAACATTTGCATCGGACACCAAGAAGCATAAATAGCACAAACCTCATCAGCATCAGCATATGCTGTCTCTATCATTCCTGCTCCAAGCAAACCAGCTAAGACAGCTGGAAGTATAGACTATAGAGTATGACCCTGAAACAGCAGCCACCAACCTTAGCTGCTGGACATCTGATCCGACAGTAAAATTTGAGCTTCTAGGGAAACCTGCATATACTCGGAAATAAGAACTCATTTCCAAAAGATCAAAATGGAAAGTGTAACCCACGATGATATAAAACCATCTTCACTAACAATCAACCGTCAGTTCAACAGCCCATGAATCAACAAAGAAGCATCCAATTTATATACAAAGACAAACGTTTCTTAAAATAACCAAATTAAGAACAATGACCCATTAGAGAAAAAATGATGATCATGTAAGCAATGAAATTTTTACGAAGAAGTTTCCATACAACTAAATTCCAAACATTAATTTCAGGCCATAAATTCCAAAAACAAATAGAAGAAACTTACGGTGGTAGAAAGGAGGAAGGAGATGACGTGAGGGAGCAGGTGAAGGGGTCAGGGTTTTAGGAGAGGCGATCTTTCGCCATGAAGGAGCAGTAGCTCTGAGAAGTCGCTTCAAAATTGCCATTGGAGAAAAAATAAACGAACTCTCTTGGAATCTCTAGATTCTTCACTCAGCTGATTATTTAAAACCCTAAACCCTGAAAAAATCAGTGAATTGTGTAAGTTGAGCTGAAAGGCAAGGAGTTCAGAAAATTCTCCCGCAAAACTAAAGGGTAAATTACACGCTTACTCACTAAATTTTACTCTCCTATTTCATTCATCGTACTTTTAATTTTTTCGATTTACTCATTGAACTTTAAACATTTAACTTTTTTTGTCTCTATTTCATTCATCGTACTTTTAATTTTTTCGATTTACTCATTGAACTTTAGACATTTAACTTCTTTTGTCTCTAGATTGTTTACTCCATAACAGGGTGCTCATGTTGCTTATTTTAATAATAAAACATGTCACATAGGACATATAATTAAAAAGATAAATTATATGTTTACTTACTCAACTTTACAGTCTATCCTATTTTACTCACTATACTTTTAAGTTTTTTCAATTAATATAGTAATGTCATAACACCTTTAGAAATTTAACAGTCGAGTAACAAAAAAGTTCAATGTCTAAATTTCAATAAGAAAATTGAAAAAATAAAAATATGGTGAGTGAAATAAGAGAGAGTAAAATTTAGTGAGTAAACGTGTAGTTTACCCCAAAATAAAAAAGGCAAAAAGATTAATTATAGTTTTGGCCCCTGTACAATACATAAATTCATATTTTGGTACTTCAAAAAAATTTCATTTTCCATACTCTTTCATTCCATCTATCACATCAAGGAAAGTAAAGGAAAGATAATATAATTTAAGACTAAAAAAAGACGAAAATATGTACAGTTGAAAATGTGATAAAAATAACATTTTAAGTTGAACGTAATTTAAAATGTTATATTTTTTTTAATATTTTTTATTGAATTTAAAATGTTATCTTTTTCTTAATATTTTAGGTTTAATCGAAAATGTTAAAGAGAAAAATAATATTTTTTATTAAGTCCAACCTAAAATACTATGGATTTTATCCATTTTCTATTACGTCCCATTTCAATTATTTTTTAGACTTAAACTAAGTTATCTTACCGCATCATTTCAAAAAAGGTTATCTTACCGAATAACTATCGATCACATTAACCCA